ACTTGAATATTTTTTGGTTGTAAAATTTTGCACATTTGCTCAAAAGCATGTAATTTTAACTTCATCTTTTTCAAAAATATCAATACCAATATCATTGATTTCAAATGTCATTTGGAATATACTTTAAAATGATTCAATTAAATTTGCCAATGATGAAACTGTGCTTCCTTTCTGAAATAAGATTCAAGAATTTCATCAACTAATGGTGTTTTCGTTTCTAGCAAAAAATGTCGCCTTTTGATTGCCCATTTCCTTTTCCGTCTTCGATTCTGAAATGAAAGCAAACCGGTAAGAATATTCATTGTTGTTTCTTAACTCTAAGATCAAAAAAAGGCAAATTCTCTGCCTTTTGAAGCACTGTCGATGATATGGTTTCCCTGAAAATCAAATCGTTGCTTAAGACGATAATATTAAATATGAAATGCGTGAGCTAGACAAGGAGGATAAGTAGTTAAAAACATGCACTCTTACAGATTTGAGTGTAACATCAAACATATTTTGCACTATGCAAGGCCAAACTGTTTTGAAAGAAACGAAAGCATTGTCCTTTACTGTCTACTTCTGCAAACTAAGTGGTAAGTGTATGGTGGCTTACATGATTGCTGTATTGGAGTACGACATCTGTACTGCGAGTTGAGGAGGTGCTAGCTGAACGTGAATGAGAACCACTATCGCGAGACCGAGATCGGCCAGATGCAAATTTGTGTTGATTTTTTCGAGCTTCCTCACGCACCAAGTATATATCCTCGTAATCATGATCATGCGCATTTTCCGCCGCGTGCTTTTCATTGTTCAAAATATTTGAGTTCGATGGTTTTGAAATTTCATTTTGGTTCTCTTTCTTTATATTATTGTTGCTGCTACAGATATTATTTTTATTGTAGTTGAGCCCAGATATTATATTATCATTTATTTTTGAAATTTTGTTGGTACTCATTTTAACACCAATGCTGTTTTTTAAATTTTGATCACGACGGCTTATTTGATTGTTGCACTTTGGATGAAGATTGAAACTGTGGCTCCGAAGATTGTTTGCCTTGGGCGAATTCATACTTGATTGAACTGAAACTGAAATAGACTCCTCGGATCCACTTCCAGTGCCACTTGAGCTTGAGTGGACATCTGCCTGTACGGTCACAGCATTGTTTATTGAATTCGATTTGTTGTTCTTATTTTGAGATTTGTGTCGATTGATTTTGGGCTTTGATTGCCTAACGCTGCTACAGTCCGAGTCAAACAACTCTCGCACCCGATTATAAATTAGCTCTTGCGGATCGTGAAGAAAGAATGATTCTCCCGAAACGCTTCCAGTGGGTGAGGGGGGCATGAAGAAGCTATTACGCATTGGATTGATATACAAGCCATCGCTCGGCACCATTTGACTATTGTACAATTTTTCAGAAGATGACCGTGAATGTTGCGAGTGTGCGTAAAACGCGTCAACACGCTTGTGAGCCATCATACTAGATGGTGGATGCAAGTAAAATGGCTCAATGTCTGAGCTTAAAGTCGACGATGTCTTCGATTTTATGGTGTTGCTGCGGCTAGTCTGTTTACTGCTATTTGAATTGCAGCTCCCATGAGAGCAGTTGCCGATACAGTTAACACTGTCGCTGCCATTGAAACTACAGTTTTGCGTCTCCTGCAGTTGCTTGCTAGATAAGGAACAAGTTTTATGCCGTTGCAAGGGGTTCTTGTCACGACAACTGTACTCCACCGAGCTGCCATGTTGCACTAACACGTTTAGACACTTTATTTAACCAATTGGTGAGATGATAAGAGAAAATACATGAAATGTAAAAAAAGGAGAGCAGTCAAAAATGCAAGTAAGTATTTATTCTTTGACGAGATTACCTCTACTTGTTGATTTTCTGCGGCATCATTAATTGGTGATTTGCCATATTTGTCCAGTGAAAGCTTTGCACCATGATTAAGCAGCCAGCGAACGACGGAAAGATGACCTCGTGAAGCAGCAAAGTGTAAGGGGGTAGCACCATCCCCATCTCGTAAATTGGGATCAACTCCTTGGTCTTGAACCTAAATATATATTCATACATTTGTATAAGTGCGGACAATCAATGTTCATTAAAGCTAAATTATACTGTAAAAAAAGTTCCTTTTATTTTCTCTAGTAAATGTATATTGGGACTCGACTAAAAATCTCCCACCGTACAACGCTTATAGATTTGCCGACGCTTCAGAGTCGTAGTTAGATGCTGGGGTTCTTTTCTTAATTAAGCTAATTAAGGGGGTGGTCAGTAGTAACTATTTACTGAATGAGATTCCCACAAGACCGTCGAGGCATTTTAAACCTATTGTGTTGAGTATCTGTACATCAAACTTTGAAATACGAGTGCATGATGCTTTTCGTTGGCCATGCCAAAAAATACACATCTGAATCGCTTTTCATAATTAAACTAACTTTGCTTAACCAGTTAACAAACCAGAGGTATTTATTTATGTATCTGGAAATTGACGAATTTCACAATATCTTTAGCAGCTTATAACGTATTTAATACAATTTAATACCGCGTCTCGATATAGAATATTTCAGACTGTTGCTGCTGTTGCATTGGAACTAAGTAGTATACGTAATACAATGCGGCCATGGATCGGAAATTCGACATCTTCGACTCCACCAAAGAGTTCATCGACAGCGCGGAGCGGGAATTAGGTTTTTTTCGCCCGCCTCGGACGCCACTTAGACTAATCCAGGACTCTCTTCACAGACACTGATTTAAAAAAAAGATCTTAACGTCATCCAGTTTTTTGAGCTTACCATCCACTTAAGGCAATCCAGACATCCCATTTGGGAGGCAGCGTGTATCGGTGCCATGCCGTCGCGTGCGCGTACATAAAGTGAACCGCCTGCTTCAAGAACCAAAAACTTCAGCACTTCCAAATGCCCTTCCTGCGCTGCCAAGTAGACTGGTGTAACATCGTTGTCCATTTGAGTGTTTGCACTAATACATATTTGCAGATTTGAATAATAGTAGAACAAAAATTAAAATATTGTATTCGATTTATTAACTGTTAACTAGTTATACAGATTATATCATAAAAAATTAGTTTTATATACATATAAGGTATACTAAAAACTAACGATTGACATATCGGTGATCCTCTGCAATAACGGCACAATTTAAAATTCAAAATATAAAATCCCTTGCTACTGTTAAGTGGCTCATGTCTGTAATCCTTATCTAATCCACGTCTACGCCTCACTAAAATAAGAAGTAAAGTTTTTATTTTTTGAATTTTTAAATGCGTCGTTATTGCAGAGGACCATCGATATGTAAGTAGGCACGTACATTAGGGCTGCAAAAAAAGTAAAGTCTGGAATTTTAATGCTCTAAACCCATAGGAGTGTTCTACATCGAAAAATACCCCTATTTTTAATTTGAAATAAAAAAATATTTAGAGGTCGCTCAAAGCGCTCGAAGTTTTCCATGTAAATATTTTATATGGGGAAAAAAGAACTTTTCGTAGAAATGGTATAGAATTCTTGGAAAACCATATTTTTCGATCGGAACACTCTAGTTCTCTTCAGGAAACTTCCAATAACAATACCCAATAGTTTATATAACCATTTTTTAATACTAAAGATTTTTTAGTGCCGCCCCCCCATGCATTTGCTTTTTATGTTCTGGGGTTTTTAACGGACCTATAAAATATAGTTACTATGAAAAAATTGTTAAATAAGTAACTGGGTATTATTATTGGGAATCTTCTTAAGAGAA